CACTATGGGGGTCTCAAAACAACAAAGATATGCAACAAAAATAAAAAGGGAATTAGAACAGAAATTTATTAAAATACCGTGTCAATCAAAGGTCGACCACAATATGCAAGTGAGTGGAACCAATCCTTCTTGGTCACATAACACGAGCCAAAAGTAAAACCTTCTGCAAGATTATTTACTTCATCGGGATATATATGTTTGGCACTTCAAATCACAAATATAAAAAGTAATCAGAACTACATTCATTGACAAGTATAAAATCAGAACATGAAAGATTGAAGAAAGTGAAGATACCTTCGCCTCGTATCCATCCCATTATCAACAAACGCGCAAAACTCTTTAGCCAATGGCGACAATGTATCAAAATCATCAATTTCGATCGTGAAAGGATGCTTGATATCAAAAATGAGCTTGGGCGCCGATTTTGATGCTCCAGAATCAAAAACTGGCAAATATGGAGATTTGGCATATTTTCCTGGTATTTTCTGTCGAACTGAATGGTCAGGAGAAATGTAATCATCTTCTACTTCTATGATGGATTGTTTGTGAACCACAAGTTGGGACATATGAGCTAAATCTTCATCACCAATGTCATCCCAAAATGTGTCACCCTTGACATCACCTGCTGCCCCTTAGACATAGAAACACAAATAATACAAAACTTCAAAAAGAAGAAAAGAAAAATCAGACCAAAAAAAAAAAGAAAGCAGAACAAATACCATTATCAACACCATCAGTAACTCCCTCGTCAGCTACCACATTATCTTGATTCATTTGATTGACAAAGTTAGGAACAACATCATATTGATAGCCATCAAATTCGCCAAGACCAGATGTATTGTCATCAAATACGGGCTGACGAATCTAATAAAAAATAATAGAAAGAGAAGGCATGTTGAGTTCAGAGAAGGCATAACTGTTGAGTGATTTGGTTTTATCAGTAAACAATTACCTTAGAATCAGTAAAATCCTCCCTCGTTTGCTTGGGTTCCTTCATATTCAGAAAACTGAACACTTTTTCAAAGGAAGAAACGACATAGTTGTTGAGTGTCGTCACTGTATCAGTCAACTACAACAAAAGCAAATAAACAACCATGTTTATTACCAAAAAGTAATTATAAACTACAGAAAAGCTAAAGGTCAAGTACCTTTCCAACATCACTCCTCAGCTTCTCAACTTCATCATTCAAAAGATCAAGACGCACAAAAGGATCATAACTTGGATTAGGCTGTGGATTCATAGTCTGAGGACAAGGTCGTTTAGACTGTTGCTCTGCATTTTGAGGATAAGGTCGTGTAGACTGTTGCTCCATATGCTGAGGACAAGGTGAAGGTGCAGCAACAAAATCATCAGTGTGAGAGGCAGGAACAACAGGCACCTACTTCAAAAAGTGTGTCGATGTTCAGACTTGACATCTCTTCAGAAGTAGGGGAAATGTTACTATAGTTCAACTACAAGAAGAAAAAAAACAGGATTACAATAGTAGAAAAATACAAGAAAACTGAAATTATATATGAAGAAGTATTATGGCACAAAATGTTTACCTTGTCGACACTACACATGATCACGCCGCCAGTCAAATCCGCATATGATGGAGTGTTAGTCACTTTCCAATTAAGAATGCGTGGCACATTTGTGCCAACGCGAACAGCTAGATTCTTATCAACCATTGAGCAACACTCAAAAAACCAAACCTGTAAAGCAAGCGGCAAACCTCCAAGCCTATACATTGTCAAATAATCGCATTGCCTGTCCCTCATTGTCCTTAAAACATCTTCAAATGACTTTTTCCCCCAAGGAAACATCTTATATTGGCCATTTTCAATGATATCAAAATCATCTTTGGTGATACCATGATTATTGGCATCAGAGAAGATGAAATGATGGACAAACACCATCAAGGCCATCTTGAACGCATCTTCATCCGACTTCCACTCCTTTTGCTTGAAGCGATCAAGAAGCTCCCCCCTTGTCATGGCCTTTTTTCCATCTCCTGGAAAATACTCTTTCAGCAACCTATTAACATCTGGTTTGTCATAGAAAGTGGCGCCGTCGTCTACGCACTTCAAACCAGTGATAAGAGCAAACTCTCCAATGCCAAAACGCAGCAAACAACCATTAATCTTCACCCACAACTCCCTTTCACGTCCTGGGACGACTTCCCTCAATAATATACAATGAATACGTTGATTTTGAATTTTAAATTGAGGGAGGTCCAGGAAGTATCCAAAACAACTAGCACGGAACATTTGAAGCTGCGTGTCAGTCAAACATTGCTTCAAAATATTCACAATATCAGGCTCGGTATGGGAACTAATCCTGTTGTGGAAATAATCAACTGGTTGTATATAGAAGTCCCCAACCTTGGATATAGGAAAATAACAAGAAATAGATCAAGAACAAAAAATATACTAAAATATTTTATAAGACCGTATATACAAGTATAGCAGTGCTTGTATAAAGATGTATAAACAGATGTATAACTTTGTATAAAACTGTATAAGCATGTATAAATAAATAGCAAAACAGGTAATACCTTCAACTTAGCTTTTCTCTTATTCAATTTCAAGCGAATAACGACCCTTTGTTCTCTCGATTGTAAATCAAGGCAACTCTCACCATCATCCTTCATCTTTCTTCTTTTCCGTTTAACATTGCGGACTACATCATCTTCATTAAACAAATCAGCTTTCAGCTTATCTGTTGATTTTGCAGGTCTGCCGCATTTCTTACTCCTTAGTCTAACTGTCACGACCCCAAACCCGGTCGTGATGGCGCCCAACACTAATGCCAGGCAAGCCCGACCATTTACTCTCTCAACCCGAGCACAAAGCTCAAAACAAATTAATCAGATACTTAAAATCAAATATTAATACTCATAGCTGAAATACTCAATTAAAACAATACGAAATACTGACATAACTGTAACTCCCAAAGACCTGGGGTCATGAGTCTAAAGCCTCTAACTAATACAGAGTCAAAGATCCTCAAAATAAGTATGTTCTAAAGTACGGAAATAATAAAGGGATAAGGGAGGAGTCGGGTCCTGCGGACGTCATAGCAGCTACCTCGATCACTCCTGGAACTCTGGAAACCAGCGGCTAGCTCAACTAAGCTCCCGAAGTACCTGAATCTGCACACAAGGTGCAGGGAGTAGGGGGTGAGTACTACCAACTCAGTGAGTAATAAGCATATAAAATGTCTGAAGATAAGAAATCCACGAAATGCCACAAAGTAAAGCTAAAACTAACAGTCCAACACCTAACTACGTACCAACAGCAAAACAACTTCAAATATATCAATCAAGTATAATGTAAGGATGCAATGCAATGCACATGACCGCTACGGCGCGTAGCCCGATCCATTTAACGTCGACGGCGCTCACTGGGGGTGTGTACAGACTCCGGAGGGGCTCCTTCAGCCCAAGCGCAATATAATCATACCATTCGCTGTGGCGTGCAGCCCGATCCATACTCAGTCCACAATATGCATATGAGTCACATAACAGATTCAATTAATTTCCCAATTTCCAATTTATTAAGAGGAATATACTTTAGATATTTAACTTCAGGAAAAGTGACTTAGCATTTCATAACAGTGATTAAACACAGGACTGAGATCAATGATTATACAAAGCATGCTATCACAATGGCATTCATCCTCTAAGGATGCTACAGATCGGCACAAGGCCCCAAACACGGCAATAAGCCCAGATATATTCAATACAGGGTGCGTATTAGTCGCCAATATAGAAACATTCTTGTTCGGGATGGACCAAATCACAATCCCCAGTCATAACCAATCCCGCACCTGCCATGGGGTGCGAGTCACGCCCTACAATAGCGTCACAATGTGATAAGCCGGGGTTTCAAACCCGTCAGGCCATCATCTATGCAAACTACTCACCTCTAACCGGCCGTAGACTGGTCCGCAATGCCTTTTCCTTTGTATCGACCTCCTCGCGCGTCGAATCTAGTCAAAATCACAGCGAATACATAAATATGGGTTAAAGAAACATAACCCAATCAAAAATACTCAAAAAGTACTAAAATTCACGAAGTTGGTAAAACCCGAGCCCCGGGCCCACTTCTCGAAAAAATCCAAAAATCACACCAAT